AAGCGCACAGTGCGCAGAAGTCACCAACTGTCTGCAGAGTCAATAGCTAAAGACCTCCAAACTTGGTGTGGCCTTCAGATGAGCCCAACAACAGTGTGTAGAGAGCTTCATGGAATGGGTTTCCATGGCCGAGCAGCTGCATCCAAGCCTTCCATCACCAAGTGCAATGCAAAGCGTTGGATGCCGTGGTGTAAAGCACGCCGCCACTGGACTCTAGAGCAGGGGAGACGTGTTCTCTGGAGTGTGACCAATCTCGCTTCTCTGTCTGGCAATCCGATGGACATGTCTGGGTTTGGCGGTTACCAGGAGAACAGTACTTGCCTGACTGCATTGTGCCAAGTGTAAAGTTTGGTGGAGGGGGGATTATGGTGTGGGGTTGTTTTTTCAGGGGTTGGGCTTGGCCCCCTAGTTCCAGTGAAGGGAATTCTTAAGGCGACATTTTGGACAACTTTGTGGGAAGAGTTTGGGGATGGCCTCTTCCTGTTCCAACATGACTGCCCCCCCAGTGCACAAAGCAAGGGTCCATAAAGACATGGAGGAGCCAGTTTGGGGTGGAGGAACTTGACTGTCCTGCACAGAGTCCTGACCTCAACCCCATAGAACACCTTTGGATGAATTAGAGCGGAGACTGCAAGCCAGGCCTCCTCCCCCGACATCAGTGCCTGACCTGACAAATGTGCTTCTGGAAGAATGGTCCAACCTTCCCATAGACACCCTCCTAAACCTTGTGGACGGCCTTCCCAGAAGAGTTGAAGCTGTTATTATAGCTGCAAAGGGCGGGGCCAACTCAATATTGAACCCTACGGACTAAGACTGGGGGGCCATTAAAGGTCATGTGCGTGGAAAGGGCGGGGCCAACTCAAATATTGAACCCTACAGACTAAGACGGGGGGGGCCATTAAAGGTCATGTGCGTGGAAAGGGCGGGGCCAACTCAATATTGAACCCTACGGACTAAGATTGGGGGGGCCATTACAGGTCATGTGTGTGTGGAAAGGGCGGGGCCTAATACTGGGGGCAATATGGTGTAGATGTGATCTAGCACAGCCGGGCTGCACTGTAGCAGTCGGTGGGTCCAGAAAAACTGGTTAAATATTCAGCGCCCCCTCCACCTGTCACCTTATAAGACATTATATCCAATAGATTGTAAGCTCTTAGGACCAGGCCCCCCCCAACCCTCTTGTATTGCACTGTACTGTCCAGGGGCGGACTGACAACTCATGGGGCCCCCGGGCAATAGGAGATCATGGGGCCCCTGTGTCCTTGCCCAAACTCAAAAAAAGCCTATGAAAAAGGTACCAGGGGCATTTCATGGGGCCCCCTACTGACCCCGGGCCCTCAGGCAGTGCCCGAGTTTCCAAATGGTCAGTCCTCCCCTGGTACTGTCTCCCTTTCATGTGTACAGCACAGCGCAAACTGTTGGCGCTCTATAAATCCCGTGTAACAATGCGGAGCCACGTCCACCCCGCGTGATCGTCCTATCAGCTTCTCCCATCTGACAATGGAGCGCGGAGGGTTCTGGGGGGGGCCCATTGTCCCATATCCTGGTAAACAGGAAGGCAGCTGTGTATGTGAGAGCGCAGGAAGAGGGGGTGTCAGCGGGGCACAGGATGCGGGGGTCCCAGACGTCACCCCCTCCTTACACCTTCACAAAGCCACTGACCCTTCTGTCTCTTGCTAATTGCTGGGCCTCATCATGGACGGGAGGGGGGGGGGGGGTGTTGGACGCACCCGGCGACATGTCCCAGGATGGTCGATGAACGACATGAAGTATTGTGGATACATTGTAGCCATTGGATTGCAGAGGATTACATCTGTCCGATCTGCAGGGAATTCTTCACATTCGGAATCAGCCGCTCATCACTAAGGGCGCCCACTTCACCCTATGGAAACGCAGTCTGATGCGTTCCGGATGCGTTTCTACATGTGTGTTTTTTATGTGCTTTTGACGCGTTCCAGTGCGTTTTTTTATGCATTCCGGTTCCTTTTTTTTTAACTGGAGAGGATACAAAAATGCACCAAAAACGTGTCAAAAGCACATCAAAAACACACCAGAAAACACACTTCCTTTTTTCTCCCTTTTTTTCAGTATATAACTAGGGAGGTGTGCGTTCCGGTGCGTTTTTGATGTGCTTGTGACGCATTCCGGTGCGTTTTTTTATACATTCCAGTTCCCTATTTAAATTGAAAAAAAGAGGGGAAAAAAAAGGAACTGGAACGCATAAAAAAACACACCGGAACGCGTCACAAGCACATCAAAAATGCACCGGAACGCACATGTCCCTATTTAAATTTTAAAAAAAGTGAGGAAAAAGGAAGTGTGTTCTGGTGCGTTTTTTGATGTGCTTTTGACGCGTCCGGTGCATTTTTGTATCCTCTCCAGTTCTTCTTTCCCCTCTCTTTTCAATTTAAATAGGGATGCCGTATGTTCCGGTTGTGTTTTTGATGTGCTTTTGACACGTTTCGGTGCATTTTTTTATGCATTCCAGTTCCTTTTTTTCCCTCTTTGTTCAATTTAAATAGGGAAGTGTGTGCGTTCCGGTGTGTTTCTGATGGGCTTTTGATGCGTTCCGCACACATCCCTATTTAAATTGAAAAAAGAGGGAAAAAAAAGGAACTGGAATGCATAAAAAATGCACCGGAACGCGTCAAAAAGCACATAAAAAACGCACCCGGAAATGTACACTTCCAATCCTGTTTAAATTGCAAAAAAAAGAGGGGGGGGCCGGAATGCATAAAAAAACGCACCGGAACGCGTTAAAAGCACATCAACAATGCAGCAGTACACACACTTCCTTTTTTTCAATTTAAAATAGGGAAGTGTGCGTTCCGGTGCGTTTTTGATGTGTTTTGTGCTTGTGACGCGTTCCGGTGCATTTTTTATATGTTCCACTTCCTTTTTTCCCCTCTTTTTTTTCAATTTAAATAGGGAACTGGAATGCATAAAAAAAATGCACCGGAACAACAACGTCAAAAGCACATCAAAAACGCACCGGAACGCACACTTTCCTATTTAAATTGAAAAAGAGAGGGGAAAGAAGTAACTGGAGTGCATAGAAACGCAGCAAAAACGTGTCAAAAGAACATCAATAACGCACCGGAACGCACACGTCCCTATTTAAATTGAAAAAAAGAGGAGGGAAAAACTGGAATGGCATAAAAAACGCACCAGGAACGCGTCAAAAAGCACATCAAAAATGCACCGGCAAAATGTACACTTCCCTGTTTAAATTGCAAAAAAGGAGGGGGGGGGGCCGGGAAACCGAAATGCATAAAAAATAACGCATCGGAAAAACATTTCACGTCAAAAGCACATCAATAACGCACCAGTACACACACTTCCTTTTTTTTGCAATTTAAATAGGGACGTGTGCGTTCCGGTGCGTTTTTGATGTGCTTTTGACTCGTTCCGGTGCATTTTTTTATGCGTTCCAGTTCCTTTTTCCCCCTCTTTTTTTTTCAATTTACATAGGGACTTGTACGTTCCGGTGCGTTTTTGATGTGTTTTTACTGCGTTCCAGCGCAGTTCTGCACAGAAAAAAATGCAGCCTGTTCTACTTTTTTTTTTCTGCAACTGGAACGCACCAGTACTGCAAGCAATGATGGGAACTATGACACTGACTACCATATCACCGTCATTCTGTGCGTTTTGGATGCAGAAAAAAAAGCAACTGAAACGCATGGAGTGTGAACCGGCCCTAAGGCAACAACTTAAAGTGTTCGTAGAGAGAAAAAAAAAAACAGAGTCGCCCCCTACAGGATTAAGCCATAAAGTGCTAGTATGCACTTACCTCCAGCCCGGGTTCACCTACATGTGGTGCGGCACATCGCATGGGATTCGCACAGGAACCGAACCGCATTCCTCTGCCAATCACATGCGATTTGTGCGCGGTGCGATCGGAGTCGTACATTTTGTATGGCTCAAATTGCACCGCACCAAAAATGCACCGGACCCTTTTCTTGGATCGGCACTAGAATCGGATCGCACGGGCATTCACACCTCTGCGATCCGATTCTGCACGTCGCACCGCGTTTTGCGGGCCGCTTTCGGGATGTTGTTAACAATCATGGCGCCATCCTTCCGGAGAGAGATGTCTGATACAAACGCTTTCAGTAAGGCTCCGTTCACACTTGTGCAACTTGTCGTGCGACTTTGGGCAC